GCGTGCCGAGCCGAGCCGAGCCGAGCCGTGCCGAGCCGAGCCCGGCTGCCGTGGGGCGGTGTGGGGCAGGACCGGCTGATGTGGGTCCCTCTGGAAGATCCACAGGGTCTACTCCTTCCTGGACTACATCATGGGCGGCTGCCAGATCCACTTCACGGTGAGCAGTGTCCCCCCCCCTCCACGCTCCCACCTCAGCAGGGACACGCTGGTGGCCTCACTTGCCCCAGGGGACCCTCGCTGCCACTAGCCCCCCCCACACCCCCCCCCCGCCAGGTGGCCATCGACTTCACGGCCTCCAACGGGGACCCCCGAAATAGCTGCTCCCTGCACTACATCAACCCCTACCAGCCCAACGAGTATCTCAAGGCGCTGGTCGCGGTGGGCGAGATCTGCCAGGACTACGACAGGTCGGTTGTTTCGGCAGGTCCCCCGGGGCCAGGACACCCCGGTGATGGCCACCCCGGTGCCGGCACTGCCGGGGCTCCTCACATCTCTTCCCTTGCAGTGATAAGAAATTCTCAGCTCTGGGCTTCGGTGCGAGGATCCCCCCCAAGTATGAGGTAAGGGGGGCGGTCGGGGTGCTGGGACCCCAGGGATGTGCTCACCCCTCCGGGCACCCTTGGCCGTGGCTCCTGTGGGGCTTGGAAGGTGCTGGGAAGTCGGGGGGGGGGAGGCGGTTTGGGGACCAGCTGCCCCCTCCCCTCTCGCCCCCCAGGTCTCCCACGATTTCGCCATCAACTTCAACCCCGACAATGATGAGTGTGAGGGTGAGTCCGGCTCCGTCGGGGCTGGGGAGCCCGGTCCCGTGCTCCCCCCGTCCCCACCGTGCCAGAGCCTGGTGCTACCCCCCCCGACTCACCTCCCCCCCCCCCCGCCCCAGGCATCCAGGGCGTCGTGGAGTCCTACCAGAGCTGCCTGCCCAAAATCCAGCTCTACGGCCCCACCAACGTGGCCCCCATCATCTCCAAGGTGGCTCGCGTGGCGGCCGACGAGGAGCGGACGAAGGAGGCTTCGGTACGTCCCCGCTGCCCCCGGCCGGCTGAGGCCCGGCGCACTCGTGTCACTTGTGACTGCCCCCCCCCCCCCCCCCCCATCAGAGCCGAGCCCCTGTCTGGCTCCTCTCTGCCTGGGCCCCCCTCCTCCAGAGCATCCCTTCCCCCCCCCCCCCCAGCAATACTTCATCCTGCTGATCCTGACGGACGGGGTGGTGACGGACATGGCAGACACGCGGGAGGCCATCGTCCGCGCCTCCTACCTCCCCATGTCCATCATCATCGTCGGGGTGGGCAACGCCGACTTCACCGACATGCAGATCCTGGACGGGGACGACGGGATCCTGCGCTCCCCCAAGGGCGAGCCCGTCCTCCGCGACATCGTCCAGTTTGTCCCCTTCCGGGAGTTCAAGAACGTGAGTGGGGTTATTGGTGGCCCCCCCCCCCCCCCCCCCCCCCCCCGCCCCGCGTTGTCCCCTCCAGTCCCCTCCGGTCCCCACAGCAGGACCGAGCCCCGCGGCGCAGCAAGCCGGTGCCCCGGGGGTGCTGCTCGGCGCACGGGGGGCGGGCGGATTCCACGGTGCCCCCCCGGTTCAACCCGCATCCCCCCCCCCCGTGTCCCCCCGGTGTCCCCCCGTGTCCCCCATCCCGCAGGCGTCACCGACGGCGCTGGCGAAGTGCGTGCTGGCCGAGGTGCCCAAGCAGGTGGTGGAGTACTACAGCTACAAAGCCTTCCCGCCCCGCTGCCCCCAGCCCGAGACCCCCGACTCCAACCTCAGCTCGCCCCAGTGAGCCCCCCGCCCCCCCGCGGCATGACACGGGGACAGACGGGGTCCCCGCCGGGTGCCAGCCCTGCCGCAGACCCCTCCTCGCCGGGCGGGGGGGACACCGGGAGCTGGCACTGGGACGGTCCCGGTGTCCCGGGGCAGGACGCCCACCCTGTGCTGCGCGGGGAGGGGGGGGGGGGGGGGTTGTGCCGGGGGTCCCCCCCGTGGGCATCGCCCGGTCCTGGCGGTCCGTGCCCCGTGGCCCGTTCCTGCTCCTGTCCCCGCGGTCCCCTCGGTCCCTGCTTATCTGTCGCTGTGACATCGTTTCGGAGGCTGCATGACGAACCCTTCCCCGGCGTGGGGGACACGCACCCCCCCCACAACACACTCCCCCCCCCCCCCCCCCAATAAAGCAACCAGCCCTGCGCCCGTGCCGCGTGCTCTGTGGGTGCCGACACCAAACCTCGCCGCCGGGAGCCGGGGCAGAGGGACAGGGACAGGGACAGGGGCAGGGACAGGGGCAGGGGCAGGGGCAGGGGCAGGGGCAGGGACAGGGACAGGGGCAGGGACAGGGACAGGGGCAGGGGCAGGGGCAGGGGCAGGGACAGGGACAGGGGCAGGGGCAGGGGCAGGGACAGGGACAGGGGCAGGGGCAGGGGCAGGGGCAGGGGCAGGGGCAGGCAGCTCCGGGGGTGTCGGTGCAGCCGGCAGCGAGGAGTGGGGCGAGCAAGAGCCCACCGTGACCCCCCCCAGCCCCGGCTGCCGGGTCCCGGGGGGGAGGCTCGTGCCCGCCCCAGTGATTTGGAACCGCGTCACGTTTGGCACCGGAGCAGCCGCCCACCCGCCGTGCCCGAAATCCAGGCCACGGGAGCGGGGGCAGCGCTCGGCGGGTCGCATGCCGTGTGCCATGTAATGCATGCCGTGTGCCATGTGCCACGCGATGTGTGCCATGTAATGCATGCTGTGTGCCATGTGCCACGTGATGTGTGCCATGTAATGCATGCCGTGTGCCATGTGCCACGTGATGTGTGCCATGTAATGCATGCCGTGTGCCATGTGCCATGTGATGTGTGCCAGGTAATGCATGCCGTGTGCCATGTGCCACGCGATGTGTGCCATGTAATGCATGCCGTGTGCCATGTAATGCATGCCGTGTGCCATGTGCCACGCGATGTGTGCCCCCTGATGTATGCCGTGTGCCATGAGCTGTGTGCCATGTGCTGTGTGCCACATGCTGTGTGCCACGTACCGTGTGCCATGTGCCATGGAATGTATGCCATGTGCCATGTGCCATGTGATACATGCCGTGTGCCACGAGCCGTGGGCCGTGTCCTGCTGTGGGCTGTGCCGTGGCCTGTGGGTCGCATGCTGTGTGCTGTGCGCCACGTGCCATGTAATGTGTGCCGTGCGCCAGGTAGTGTATGCCATGTGCCATGTGCCGCGTGATGTGTGCCATGTGCCACGTGCCATGTGCCACCTGATGTATGCCGTGTGCCACGTGCTGTGCACCATGTACCGTGTGCCGTGTGCCATGGAATGTACCGTGTGCCGTGTGCCATGGAATGTATGCCATGTGCCATGTGATACATGCCGTGTGCCACGAGCCGTGGGCCGTGTCCTACATGCCACACGCCGTGTGCCATGTGCTGTGGGTCTCATGCCACGCCCTGCGCGCTGCGTGCCATGCACATGGCGTGCGGGTGATGTATGCCGTGTGCGCCGCGGGCCAGGCACCGTGTCCCGTTGTGCCACGCGTCACGCACCACACGCCGTGTGCCCCGTCCCGTGCACCGCCTGCTGCACGTTTCGTGGCGCGTGCTCCGGGTGCCGGGTACCCACCGCGCCGCTGCCGGTGCCACACGCCGAGGGCCGCCCGGCTTTGCTGTGTGCCAGCCGCCTCCCACCACGCGCTGCGTGACGCTGTCCCGCGTGTCGTCCACGCCACCCCACGACACCACCCCAACGGGCCCCGCGGGTCACCTCCACGGGGGTGGGCTGTGACCCGTGGTCACCACGGGGCCTGACACCGGGGCGGGGGCCACCCAAAAGCCGCCCCCCCCCCCCCCCCAGCCTGTGGGGCTGGGATGTGGCCGTCACCCTGGGTGTCCCCATCCGGGTGGATGTCCCCCCCTTCCCCGGCACGGCCACGCTGGAACGCCGCGGCCCCTCCGGCGCTGCCGCGCGCAGGCAGAGCGATGCTGCCCGCGCCGCCCCGACCAACCCGCCTATTTATAGCTCCTGATTCATCCCCTATAAAACAGGATAATAAGACGTCGCCATAGAAACCCGGCGCCTGACGAGCCGGTGGCGACAGCCGTCCCTCGGCGCGGGCAGGGGGCTGCCCCAGCACCCCGAACTGGGGACCCCCCCCCACCCTCCCAACCCCGGGGGCTGAGGGTGCCCGGTGTCACCCAGCTGGTGATGCAGCGGGGACGGGGAGCGGTGGCAGAGCCACCGGTGCCACGGGGTCACGGTGCCAAAGTCCCCAGGGAGGGGCTCACCGCCTGCCCCCCCCCGGCAAAGCCAAGCCCACCCCGGCACCGTGCCACGCTGACCCGGTGGGGGCTGGTTAATGAAGCCATAGGTTAATTATTGACAGTTCCTGCGCTTCCCGAGAGGCTTGATACGGCGTGGTGGAAGGCCAGGGGCTGGGGGGGGGGGGGAATATGCTGCTTGCCTGGGGCACCCCAGGGTGCTGGGGGGGCACGAGCTGCTGGGTGCAGGCACCCCAGGAGGGCAAATAGGTGGGGGGGGTGCATCCAGCCAGGCTGGTCAGGGCAGTGTGACCACCCCCCAAGGCATCAGGAGGGGATGCAGTGGGGGGGGGGGGTGTCGGGGCATTGGGGTGCAGGGGGCATCAGGAAGGGGTGCAGTGGGGTGGGGGGGGCATTGGGGTGCAGGGGGCATCAGGAGGGGGTGCAGTGGGGCAGAGCGGGGGGGTATTGAGTATCTGTTGGGGGTTGCAGAGGATGCGCTGGGGACAGGGGGGCTCCAGGGGTGGGGGGGGGGGTGGGTGGGGGGGCCCCTCGGAGGATGTGGGGGGCCCCGAGTGCTGCTGAAGGAGCTGGCTCCATGCCCCGGGCGAACACCGGCACCGCTCAGCCATGCCGTGACCCCACCACAGGGCCTGGCAGCCCCCCCCCGCCACTGTCCCCCGCAGCAGAGAAGGTCCCCGGGGATGGGTGTCCCCCCCCCAGCTAGCGCCAGGTGCTTCCCCCCCCATGGGAACACACTCCCTGGCTGAGGACAGCAATAAATATTTATTTCCGCAGGGAGGAAGAAAGGGGGGGTCACGGCTACATGCCCCCACCCCAGGGGAAGGAAGGCCATGGGGATGGTGGCTGGAAAAGCCCCCTGTCCCCAGGATGGGGGGTGCCCCCCCCCCTCCCCGGGCTCCCTCAAGCCATGGGCCAGCGCACGGGCAGCTCCGAGTCGCCCATCTCCTCCTGGTAGAGGCGGTTGAAGAGGGTGTTTTGCAGGGGGGAGAAGTGGTCCCGCCAGTCGCCCACCACGCCTGCGGGATGGAGAGGGGGGGGGGGACACGGGCAGAGAGGCTGCAGCCAGGGCCAGCACCCCGCCCCCGACTCTGTGTGTGTGTGTGTGTGTGTGTGTGTGTGTGTGCCCCCCCCTCACCTTTCCTCATGAAGCATCCCTGGCTGTGGTCCATGATCTCGGGGGGGATGAGGCTGTAGTTGGCCATGGCGTTGTCCCGCATGGCGGTGAAGCTGCAGTGCTGCTCCAGCGCTCCCAGCGTCTCCGGGCTCAGCGGGCAGCCCAGGAAGGTGCTGAGCCGCTGCGCTGTGCCACGCAGGTCCTGCGCCGGGAGTTGGGGGGAGAGGGAAGGGGGGGGGGGGGGCGGTGGGCCAGGAAACACACACGGTCAGCCCCGGGCAGCCTGTGGGGACGGGGACGGGGACACGCCGGGGCTTCACCTGGTGCAACTCCTCGTAGGTGACGTAGAAAATGTCCAGGAGCTGCCGCTGGCCCAGCCAGCCCTTGACGTGGTCAAACCAGGAGCCGTAGTGCACTGTGGAGGGGGGAGGGAGGTGGAGGGTGATGGGGGGGGGGCCCAGTGGCTGAGCCTGGAGACTCCAGGGACAGCCACCCGCCCCCCCCCCCCAAGCCATTACCCGTGCCGTCGAGGAACCGCGCGAGGAAGGTGTCAAAGGAACCGGGGTCGGGCAGGAACTTGGCCAGGCGGTGGAAGTGGTAGAAGGAGACGGCGACATCCTTGGGGTTCCTGGCCACGTAGATCACCTTGAGTGGGGGGCGGGGGGGACACGGACACACACACACACACACACACAGAGCATCAGCCCCCCAGCCTGGGGAGGGAGGGGGGGGATTCTGCTCAGAAAGCCCCCGGCAATCCCCAGCTGCGGGAAGCCCCGTGGGCACGGGATGTCCCTGCGGGGACGCCCCCCCCCCCATCCCACCCCGCACCCCCTTCCCCCCCCAAACCTTGGCCTTGCTCCGCTGCAGGGCGGGGGCCAGGACGCGGGCAGGCAGGTGGGTGGTGATGAGGCGGGGGGCGGCCGTGTCCCGCAGCGCAGCCCTGAAGTAGATCTGCTCCAGCCAGGGCGCCCGCTCCCAGTTGGGGATGGTCTTGGCCGGCACGGCGTCCCCGCGGCTGAACAGCAGCGTCAGGATCTCCTGCATCCAGGTGGTGCCTGGGGAGGAGGCCGTCAGGGCAGCGCCGGGCCTGCATGGGGCACGGCACGGCACGGCACGGCACGGCACGGCACGGCACGGCATGGCATCGTACAGCACGGCACAGCTTGGCACCACACAGCATTGAGTGCCGCAGCATGGCACGGCGTGGCATGGCACAGCACGAAACGGCATGGCACAGCAAAAAATGGCACGGCACGGCACGGTACAGCACAGCATGGCGTGCCGCAGCTTGGGACTGCACCAGCATTGAGTGCCTCAGCATGGCACGGCATGGCATGGCACGGCACAGCACAGCATTGAGTGGCTTGGCACGGCACGGCGTGGCACGGCACGGCATCGTACAGCACAGCATGGCGCAATTTGGCACTGCGCAGCATGGAGTGGCTCAGGATGGCACGGCATGGCACGGCACGGCACGGCACGGCACCGTGCAGCACAGCGTGGCGTGGCGCAGCTTGGCACCGCAGAGCAGCGAGTGTCCTTGGCATGGTTAGGCGCGGCACAACATGCCCCGGGGCCAGCGGCTGGGCTGGCAGGGCTCTGTGGCCCCCCCCTCTAGAGCCCCCCACCCGTCACGCCAGTGCGGGGTTGGGGCCGGGGCAGTGGAGGGTGTGGGAGCGGCAGAGAGGGGGTTCGGGGGGAGGTGGGAGCCGATGGCCGGGGGTCCCCTGCGCTGTGCCCGGAGGGACCGGTGGCCACCGGGCTGTGGGGGTCGGTGGCCACCGGGTTGTGGGGGCCGGGGGCGGGGGGGCCCTGCCCGGGGCGGGGCTGGCCCCGAGCTCGGCCACGTCCCAGCCACGCAGGCAGCTCCTGGCCCGGGGGCTTTGCGGCAGAGGTTGCCCATGCCCCCCACCCCCCCACCCCCCCTCCCCGCGCTCCAGCCGAGCCAGGGGGTCCCCAGCCCTCCCCCACTTCCCCCCTCCCCATCCCCACCCGCGTCCCCTCCGCGTCCCCCAGCCCCTCACCCGATTTGGGGTAGGTGGCGATGACCACGTCGGTGGGGCGGAAGGGGAAGGCGGCGGCGAAGCCGAGGGACTCCGGGGTGTGGAGGTGGCCGGGCAGGGAGATGCCGGCGAAGGTCTCGGTCACCTCCATCCGCTCCATGGCCCGGCCGCTGTGGGGGACGCGCGGGGGGGACGGCCCTTAAATAGCTGCAAAAGAGGAAGCCGTCCCGGCGGGCGGGAGGCCGGGCCCCCCCCCCCCCCCCCCCCAGCGCATTCCTGCCGGGGGGCCGGGGATCCAACGGCCTCCGGGAGAGCGCTGCCTGCGGGGCCGGGGGGCTGGGGGCACCCCCCGGGACGGGACGGCGGTCCCGCATGGCCAACCCCCCGCACCGCACCCACGGCGGGGAGACCGGGGCACCCCGTTTGCCCGGGGATGGTTAGGGTGCCGAGGAACCTCGCCGGCTGAGCCTGCGGTGACCCCCGGGGGTGCCAAGGCCCACGCTGTGCCCCACGGGCTCCCCACGGCCGGTGGAAGGGTTTCCCGACCCGGCGCACCCCCGGGACGAGGAGCGGGGGGCCGGCCGTCTCCACGTGGCTCCGTGTCATTCCCGGCAGCCCCACGGTGCCTCTCGCCGCGCCATGACCCCGCAGCCCACGGCCACCGCCAGCCCCCCAAGCAGCAGCCAGCCAGGGTGGCCCCCCCACCGCGGGCACGGGGCCACAGGACCGACGGGTGCCTCAGTTTCCCCCCCCCCCTTCACCGTGACGCTGCAGCGGGAGCGCGGGGCGGGGGGGAGCCCAACACATGGGGGGCACCGCCGGCAGCCCCACGGCGCGGCCGTCCCACCCCGGCTGCTGCCCCCACCCCACCCCCGACACCCTCCGTGGCCTCACCACAGAGCCGTGGGGCGCGCCGGCACCCCCCGGCACCCGACGCCATGTCAGGGGGGTGGCTCTGGGGTGGCCAGAGCCCATCCCAGTCCCGCTGCTGGCACGCCAGCCGGAAAACATATTTCACAGCCGTTGCAAACAGCAGCTGCCCGAGCGTCCTTGGGGCTGGGGGTGAGCGAGGGATGGGGTGCCAGGGGGGTGCCAGCGCTGGGCCGGGGGTGACGGCGCTGGGGCGGCCGAGGCGGGGATGGGATTGGCACTTTCCCAGCAAAAAAAAAAAAAAAAAAAAAACCAAAAAAACAATCTGGGCTGCATTAGAGGAGCAGGGAGCGTCCCTGCAGCTAGGCGGAAAGGCTCCGGCACGGCCCTGCCACCCGAAACCGGGCTGGGGGAGGCCATCGCCGCCGCGCCGGTGCCCGCTGCGCCGGGGTGCTGCCAAGGCTGGGGCGCAGGGGCACGCGGGGTGGGGTGAGGGCTGAGGCGCCTGGTTATTTATTTACGGCGGGAGGGGACGGCCGGTGAGCGGGCGCTCAGCGCGGCGGCGGGTCAGCCCGGTTCACCCCGCCGGGACGGCAGCGAGGGGGACAAGATGGCAGGGCCGGATGGGACCGTGTGGGTGCTGGCGCTGGCGCTGCGCCTGCTGCTGCCCTGCGCCGGGCAGGATCACCGGGAGGAGGCCGAGCGCATCATGACGACCACGCCGGTCATCGACGGGTGAGCAAAGGTTGCCGGGGCCGCGGCAGAGCGGTGGCACTCGGGAAAAATCCCAGATAGAAAATCCCACCGGGGACGGCCGCGCCGGGGGATCCCCGCGCCGGGCACCCCGGGGCCGTGCAGCCGAGGGGATCCCCGGCGGTGCAGCCCAGCTGGGAGCGGGAAGGGTGCCAGGAAACGGGGGGCCAGGCTGCCCCGGGGAAAGTCCCCAATTTCGTGGCGGGACCGCGGGCGGGGGTCTTGCGCAGGGTTCCCCCGTGGCACCAGCCTGGGGACGTGGCAGCCCGGTGTGGCACAGCCCCTGGAAGCGGTTTTTTGGAGGAGAGGGAGCCAGAGGATGTGGGGACGGTGACGCAGGAGGGGGGAAGTGCCTGTGCCCCCCCCTCCCCTCCCCAGCACTTCCCCGGTGATCCAGCTGGGTGCGGGATGCTGCGTGGCGGTGACGCCCCAGTGACGGTGATGTCCCCGTGGGGGTGACGTCCCCACGGGTGTCACAGCCCCGTAGTGGTGACGGTGACATCCCCGCGGGAGGGATGCGAGGGCTGAATGGGGGTGGTGGGTGGAGGGGTGCGTGGAAGGGTCCCCCACCACCCCGCCAGCTGGCAAAGGCGGGGCTCTCGTGGGGGTGTCCCCTGGGAGTGACCTGTCCCCTGCTCCCGGCCAGAGCTGCTCCGGGGCAGTGGTGCAGGTGGGTGGGCAGAGGGACCGGTGGGTGGGTGGAGAGAGGGAGGGATGGATGGATGGATGGGTGGACGGACAGATGGACAGATGGATGGATGGAGGAAGGGAAGGATGGATGGATGGATGGATGGATGGATGGATGGATGGATGGATGGATGGATGGATGGATGGATGGATGGATGGATGGATGGATGGATGGATGGATGGATGGATGGATGGATGGATGGATGGGTGGATGGATGGATGGGTGGATGGATGGATGGATGGATGGATGGATGGATGGATGGATGGATGGATGGATGGATGGATGGATGGGTGGATGGATGGATGGGTGGATGGATGGATGGATGGATGGATGGATGGATGGATGGATGGATGGATGGATGGATGGATGGATGGATGGATGGATGGATGGATGGGTGGGTGGATGGAAGGATGGATGGATGGGTGGGTGGGTGGATGGGTGGGTGGATGGATGGATGGGTGGGTGGGTGGATGGGTGGGTGGATGGATGGAGGGGTGGATGGGTGGATGGATGGATGGATGTGTGGATGGACAGAGTGATGGCCAGATGAGTGGAGAATGGGTGGGCCGTCAGCCAGGGAGATGGACAGCCAGGGGGCTGGATGGACAGACGGGCAAACGGACAGACATCCCCTTCACTCCCCCTCTCTCCCCTGCCCAGGCACAACGACCTGCCCTGGCAGCTCCTCACGAGGTTCAACAACCAGCTGGGGCTGCCCGAGGCCAACCTCATGCTGCTGAACGGCACCCACACCAACATCCCCAAACTGCGGCGCGGGCACGTGGGCGGGCAGGTGGGATGGCGAGGCGGGGGCGAGGGGTTGGGAGGGGGACACCCCCACACCCACACACCCACCCCCCCGGGCACGTGTCCGTGCTCCCGGCGCTCACCCAGCGCCGTCGCGGGCAGTTCTGGTCGGCGTACGTGCCCTGCGACACGCAGAACAAGGACGCGGTGAGGCGCACGCTGGAGCAGATCGACGTGGTGCACCGCATGTGCGAGCTCTACCCCGAGGCCTTCGCCTGCGTCGTCGACAGCGCCGGTGAGTGGGGCGCCAGGGCCGGCGGCGGGGGGTGTCCTCGGGGTGGGGGATGTGGGTGCCCACCCTGGCTGATCCCCCCCCACACACTCTGCCTCTCCCTCCCTCCAACCTCCTGCAGGCATCCAGCAAGCTTTCCAGAGCAAGAAGGTGGCCAGCCTCATCGGGGTGGAGGGCGGCCACTCCATCGACAGCAGCTTGGGCGTCCTCCGCACCTTCTACCGCCTGGGCGTCCGCTACATGACCCTCACCCACAGCTGCAACACCCCCTGGTAGCAGCCCCCCGGGGCTGGGGGACAGGGAATGGGGGGGGGGGACACAGGGTCAGCGTTGGGGGGACGCACACACACAGGTGGTGAGAGTGAGCAGGGGTACGTGGTCAGGGAAGGGGGGTGTGGGGGGGGAGTCTGCCCTGATGCTCTCCCCGCTCCGCAGGGCTGACAACTGGCTGGTGGACACGGGGGATGAGCCACCCCTGCACCACGGCCTCTCGCCCTTCGGGAAGGTGAGTGGGGACAGTGTCACGGAGAAGGGGGGGGACACGACACGACACGTGGTACTGGCACCCACCGGCCCCATGGTGGGTTATCAAAGCGCTGGGTGTGCAGCGTGGCCGGTCCCCTCCGCAAAGTGGGGCTGGCACGGCCCCTCCTGCACCCCTCACCCCCCTCCCCGTCCCCGCAGAGCGTGCTGGAGGAGATGAACCGCCTGGGCATGATCGTGGACCTGGCCCACGTCTCGGTGGAGACGATGAAGGTGGTGCTGAGCCTCTCCAAAGCCCCCGTCATCTTCAGCCACTCGTCCGCCTACAGACTCTGCCCGCACCGCCGCAACGTGCCGGATGATGTGCTGAGGATGGTGGTGAGCGCCGGGGCACGGCCGCGGGCAGGGTGGGGGGGTCATGGTGGGGTGCAGGGCTCAGGGGCACCTCTCCCCCCCCCAAGGCCTCCACGGGCAGCCTGGTGATGGTGAACTTCTACAACGCCTACGTGACGTGCAAGGACACGGCCACGCTGAGCGACGTCGCGGGTGAGGCAGGCGCATGGTGGGGGGGGAGGGGAGGGTAGCAGCATCACGTCACGTCCCCCCCCCTTCCCTGCTCACCCCGACCCCCCCCCCCCCCATCCTGCACCCACAGACCACATGGACCACGTGAAGAAGGTGGCCGGCGCCCAGTTTGTCGGCTTCGGCGGGGACTATGACGGGGTCCCAGGGTAATGCGGGCGATGGGTGCGGGACGGGCAGATGGGGCAGAGTGTCCCCAACCATGGGGATATGTCGGGGGGGGGGGGGGGTGTTGTCTCCCCCCTGCCCTGCGTGGGTGGCTGGGGGGTGGGAGGTGGGTGCCCCCAGCACGGCTGCTGGGTGGCGCAGGGTCCCCACCGGTCTGGAGGATGTGTCCACGTACCCCGCGCTGGTGGCTGAGCTGCTGGCGAGGAACTGGACGGAGGCGGAGGTGAAGGCGGCCCTGGCCGAAAACCTGCTCCGTGTCTTCAGGAAGGTGGAGGAGGTGAGCGGGGCACGGGGAGGTAAGGGGACACACAAGGCGTGGGGACACACGGGTATACACGGGGACACGTGGGGCACACAGGACATGGGGACACACGGGGCACGGGGACACATAGATGGGGCACAGGGACACACGGGGACACATGAGGCATGGGGATGCACAGGGATACATGAGGCATGGGGACACATGGGGCACGGGGACACATGGAACACATGGGGCACGGGAACACATGGGGACACATGGAGCGCAGGGACATATGGGGTGCAGGGACACATGGGACACATGGGGCACGGGGACACATGGAGACACACGGGGACACATGGGGCACAGGGACATGTGGGGCACGGGGATACATGGAACACATGGGGCACGGGGACACACATGGACACATGGAGCACAGGGACATATGGGGCGCAGGGACACATGGGGACACATGGGGCATGGGGACACATGTGGACACATGGGGCACAGGGACATGTGGGGCACGGGGACACATGGATCACATGGGGCACAGGGACACATGGGGCATGGGAACACATGGGGCCACATGGAGCACGGGGCCACATGGGGCACAGGGACATATGGGGCACGGGGCCACATGGGGCATGGGGACACATGGATGGGGCACAGGGCCACACGGGACATGGGGACACACAGGGCCACAGGTGGACACACAGGGCACAGGGCCACACGAGGACATAGAGGGACACATGTGGCCACACGAGGACACACAGACACCCACGGGGCACTGGGGGCTGCCCCTCTCCGCGGGCGCCCACCCCGTCCCCCGTCGCAGGTGAGGACCAGCCTGCGCGGCACGGCGCCCCGCGAGACGCCCATCGCCTTCCACGCGCTGGAGGGGACGTGCAGGACCGGCTACGGCTACACCAACGGCGCCGGCACAGCCCGGCTCCCCCCGGCAGCCCCGGCGCTGGCGCTGGCCCTGCTCGGCGCCCTGCTCCCCTAGCACCCAGCCCCTGCTCCCACCGCAGCCCCAGCACCCCGACCGGTGGGATGCTGGTGGCTAGCCCGGTGGCTACCGGCCTGGGCCTGCGCGTCGGCCCCGTGAGCGAAATAAAGCCGCGCTTCGAGCACCGCGCGTCCGCACCGGGGCCCCATGGGGACCCCCAGCACCGTTGCCCTGCTCCCAGCCGGAGGCCACGAGCCACCTCGGCATGTCACCAGCCACCCTGCTAGCCACCCCAGCACCCTGCTAGCCCCCCCGGCAGGGCAGAGCCCTAGGGACCCCGTGGGCACCCAGCCTGGGGCACCGGGAAGCCGTCACCGCACCGGGAGTGACGCATCGCTGCAACACACGGCCCAGGGTGGCTGTAGGGCTGCCTCCGCAGGATGCTTACATTAATCATTAGCTAATTAATCGGCTACTCAATTATCTTCTTAGCAATTTCCTCTCACATTTGAGAACAGCCTGTCTTCGGAGCGGAGGCGGCTCCGGGAAAACAGGCAGGAGAGGGAGAGAGCCATCTTCCTGTGGCATTCGTAAATTGGCTGAGGCACCGAGCCACGGCTCCGCTCCCCTTCGCTCCTTCCTCCTCCTCCTCCTCACGGCAGCCCCGGGGCACCAAACCCTCTGGCCCAAGCAGGGGATGGGGCACGGCCCGTCGCGCCGTGGCTCAGGCAGAGGGGAACCACAGCCCCCCCCAAACCCCTCCGCTGTGTCTGAGCCTCGCAAACAGCACGATGGATGTTCAGGGATTGTTTATTTAAAATAGCAGAAGGTAACCAACCGGGGCTGGAGAAGAAGAAAAAGGCAAATGAGACAAGCTTTAAAAAAAAAAAAAACAACCCACAAATGAAACCACAGAGAAACATCACGCTGAGAGAAGGAGCATTTCCAGGGGCAGGGGCTCCCTGGGCCACGTCCCGGCCCCCAGCCCCACGGGTGGCAGCCACGCAGGGCCAGGCTGCCCGGCCCCGTGGGGAGCAGGCGCTGCTGGCAGCTCCGGTGGCATTTCCACCCCACGGTGCAGGCACAAGTCTCCGGGGAAGCTCCCACTTTCTGTCCCGTCCCAGATCCAACGCTCCACCCTGTGCAAGCGACTTGGTAGCCCCGAAGTCACCTCCTCCTCCTCCTCGTCCCACGCCCCGCGCCCCCACCGCAGCACGCCTCGGGGAGGAAGGCTCTGTCGGGTCACTGCACACGCGCTGCCGAGGCTGCAGAACTCAGAATAAATAATCAAAACGGTGAAAAAGCGTTTGTGTGGCAAGCGGTGGGGAGGTGGCCCCTGGCCTGCAGCGAGTCCTGCCCCATGGCCACGCAGGCCAGCCCTGGGAGTAGGAAGGAGCTGCCTCCCACCTCTCGCTTCCCTTCCCTCCTCTCAGCTCAGCCCCGAGCAGCAGTTGCCTTCCAACTCCCTTCCAAAGCGATGAATCAGAGCTGCCCCAGCGCAGCGGGACCCGCCGCCCGCTCCCGGCGCCGCGGTTCAAGTTCCTCCTCCCCAGTGCTGAAGGAAACTGCATTTCCTTCCCGGCCAGCTTCCCGGCCATCCAGCACCGCCGCGGCGCCGGGGAGCGGCGGAGGAGAAGGGACATAAAAAAACTTCAACCCCGGGGGAAGGTTCTGAGGGACAAGCAGCCACGTTTCCCCTCCCCGAGAGGACACGGGGAGCAGCCCCCCTTCTCATCCAGCCAGGCCCCAGCAGCAAGGAGCAGAGGGAGCAAGGCAGGGCGGGGGGGGGGGAGCGCAGAGAGGAAATAGCAGGACGAGCGTTTCAAAGGTCACTTGGTGGTACAGAGCTCCCAGGGAGGTTTGGCCCGGCAGGACAAGGTGTAAGCGATCAGCAAGGTGAAGTTTGCGACCGGGGTACCCGGTTATGGCTCGGGAAGGTCACCGCGAGGGAAGAGACGCCACGGCGTAACCTCCCCCTTCCTGCAAGGCACTAACCTTCCCAGAAACACCACGGCCGGGGAAAAAAACAACCCTCCCCGACCCGCTGCGAGGGGAAGGCGGCCCCGTGGGGATCTCCCTGCTCCTTGTAAACAGCTCCTGGCCACGGGCCCACCCCCCCCCTCCCCGAGGAAAACACAGCCCGCAGCTCGGGGACGTGGTCTAAAACAGGTAACAGAAGCGTGCTACACACGGCGAGTCGGGCGAGCAGCGCCCCGGAAGACACCACAACCCGAAAGGATTCCTTTAGTGTTAAATCGAGAGCGGGACGTTGGATGGTGGGACGCTGCCAGAAACCAGCAGCGACTCCCAAATGAAAAACACCCTGAAATCAGAACCAGCAAAGCGTTCCTCGAGCCCGAGAGAGAGGCCATCGCTGCACGGCTCCCCCCCCCCCCCCCCCCCACTCCCCTCTGCCAGGATCGCTGCCTGCTCTGGGAAAATTTGTCACCGTCACACCCCAAAAGAAGAGTCTAAACGCAGGCAGGCAGGGCGGGGGGCGTGCTGCTGGAGGAGGGGACGGCCGACTCCGCCCGGCCGGTGGGTCAGAGCAAGGACGTAGCAGAGGCTGTGGGGCAGGAGTCCCGGGCCCCTCCGCCCCACACGCCGTACCACCAGCGCGGGGCAGCAGTCCGCAGGGGCGACGGGAGACCTTAATTCCTCAAGGCAGCCAACCTGGAAGGGAGAGCACGAGAGGGAACCGACGTGAGAACGGCCGCGAGGCCGAAGGACCCGTCAGCCAGCGCGGGAAGGGAACGTCTCTGCCCAGAAACCTCCCTCCTGCGGCCGAGGTGCAAGAAATCCTGCCCTGGAGCACGCGGCCACGGCTGCCTGGTGTTAACCTGGAGCGTCTGTGGTCAACGCAGGCCAGGCACTGCGGAGAAGGAGGGTTCTCAGCTTCTTTTCTGGGTGCCTCGCCACCGCAGCCCGCCCGGTTCCTCTCCCCGGGCCATCCCCAGCCCCCAGCGTAGCCCAGTGCAGCCTGGGGACTGTCCCCAGATGGACCCCAGTGGCAGATGCATGGGGAGGGACTGGGAAGAGGAAGCTTATCAGCTTCTCCTGGGGCAGTTCCAGAGAGACAGCCTGTTCCCAGAGCTGTTTGAAGGTCATTGCCAAGCGCTCCCAGAGCGGCAGAAGCTGCGTGAGGGCGAGCACAGAGCAGGGAGAGGCTCTTCCGCACCTCGGCGGTGACAGCTGGCTGCCCGGTGCCAAAAGCCACCCCCCTCAGCCACCTCGCCTGCCCGAGCGTGAGAGCGAGGGCTCAGCACCCACTCGGCCAGCCACGGTGGGACAACTCCTTCCCTTCGTGTTGGTGAGGGATCCCTGGGAAGGATTCAAACTGCCTCGACACAAAGCAAAGCACCCGGGGAAAAACCAACCTCCGCGACAGCTGGTCTTCCTGGGTACGGACCGAGCTCTCCCCCACGGCCGAAGCCCCCTCGGGGAGCTGGTTGAGCTGGTCCATGATCTCCAGACCATTCTCCTCCGCGATCTGGACGATGAGGCTGTCCACTTGCTCCTGCGGCGTGGTCAGCGTGGTAGCGGAGCTCATGGAGTCCTCCATGACCTGCGAGGCGAGACGAGCCTGTCACCCTGCCCCCTGGGCAAAGCCACTCGGCCCAGCTCCGCTTCTTCCCCCCAAAAATCTGGCTGCAGACCCCCAGAAAACGGCCAGCTACGACACAGCCACCCTCCCTCTTCTCCCCGTTTGCACGTTCGCTGTACGTTGGCAGAGAGCAACCTCCTTCCCCGTGCAGCAGCAGAGACACGTCTTCCCCAACGTCTCTGATGTCCCTCAAACGCAAAGAACAAACCGGTGCGAACAGCTCGGGGCGGGGGTTTCCCACACAGCAGGCTGGAGTCCCCGAGTCACAACAGGGACATGGCTCCCTCCCGAGGGGCAGCGTGTGACGGGTCAGAGACAAGCCCACCTTCCCCACCCCAGCAGTTCCCAGCCCTCCCAGACCCCTCAGGGACCACCGGCACTTACCGACGTATGAACATCCAAATTCTGAACCTGCTGCTCGAATTTATCCATCACCGCAGACACCTTCTGCAGGTCCATGGAGCTCAGAGCCTTGTCCAGCGCCTTGGTCACCTGGGCCATGTTTTTCGTCACCTGCAAAAGGAGGTGGTTTTGCAGATGCTCCCCAAAAGCAAGGTAAGTCACTGCTGAGAGTGAAACCCAGCTCAGCGAGAGAGAAGCCGGTGTTTCGGACGCCCAGCGAAGCAGCCCCGCTGCGAGGCCGTCCCAGACAGGCCGAACCTGAGTGTGAGGGCCTGAGCTAGCTCCGAGGCTCGGCGGGATCCTTTTTGGGGAGAGGGAAGGCTGAAGTGGCTCAAGGCAGTGAGAGGGGAAGAGCCACCTTCGCTCTCTGCAGGCCACAGCCCCGTCTCAAAGCCCCGCACCCCCGCAGAGGCTCTCACCCCCTTCATCGTCACCGCTGTCTGGACCTTGGAGGCCACCGCGTCCACCCGGGAAGACATGCGGAGCCAGTTAAGGCCCTCGTTCTTCTTGCGGATGGCATTCTCCGCGTAAACGCGGGCGCACTCCACATTCTTCTGCTGAAGGGCCTGGAAGGGCAAAAGGCAACCGCTTGCACAGAAAATCCACCGCAGGTTTATAAACAAGCTCGCTGGGTTTCTAGCACCAAACAGCTTTCCCAGGGCCCTCAGGAGGCTGAGCACGCCCTCGCACGGGAATTAAATCCTTCCCAGCGTGGCAGGGACGCGCCGCATCCACCCGGCAGATTGGAGAGCGGGACGTAAAACTCCTGGGGAGGGGAAACTGCCCCTTTCCCCAGCCCCTCGGTGACCCAGGGTGGGATTTGCGGCCGCGTGGCTCAGCGCCGAGCTCCCACCCACCTTTTTGACTTTGGCTTGTTCGGCCTTGGAGTCTTTCTCGGCTTTTTTAGCGAGCTTCTCCAGCTGCTTCGCCGTGAACTGCGGGGAAAGCAGAGGGTCAGTGACAGGACACGGCGATGCAGAACCGGGGACCTCCCCCCCCTCACCCCCCGCTGCCTCCCACACCCAGCAACGCCGGCCACGGCCCCCCTCGAGGACCGGGGGGTGCCCGCACGCACCGGGGAGGCCGTTTCCCCCATTTCCCAGACGGGAAGCGCCGGGTGACACCCCGGGAACGGCAGTCAGACCCGGCTAAAGGGCTCCCTCTTCCCGCAGCCACCGGCATCGCTCCCGGGGCCGGCGGCAGGAGAAGCCCCGGCGAGATGCGAGATGCAGCGGGCGGAACGGTCCCGGGGGGGCCCGGTCCTGGGGAGGGGGAACGCTGCCATCGGCCCTCCGGGACCGGCGGTACGGGGTGAAGAGGAGGAGGAGGGTCCGCCCGTGTCCCTCACCTTCAGCTGGAAGAGCGTGTCTGGAAAGGAAGAAAAGAGCCTCAGGGCGGGGCGGGCACCGGGGGGCATCGATGGGAACGGGGACGGGGGGGTGGGCACCGGGGAGAACGGTGGGAACCGGAACGGGGGGGTGGGCACCGGGGAGAACGGTGGGAACGGGAATAATGGTGGAGGAGGCCAGGCACCGGGAATAGTGGTGGGAACGGGGGGCTGGCACCGGTGGGAACGAGGGTAACAGTTGGAACGGAGGCCGGGCACCGGCAATAACGGCGGGAACGGGGATAATAGCGGGAACGGAGGCCGGGCACCGGGAATAACGGCGGGAAGGGGAAGGGGGTACCGGGGGGAATGGTGGGAGCGGGAAGGGGGTTGGGAACCGGGGGTAACGGTGGGAACGGGATAACGGCAGGAACGGGAATGGGGGGCGGGGATAACGGCGGGGACCGGGGCCGGGCACCGGAGGTAAGGGCGGGAACGGGGGGCGGGCGCCGGGACTGAGCACCGAGGCTGGGTCCAGATCCAGGCCCATCGAAACAAGCTCCAGCACCCCCCCAGCGCACCCCAAATCCCGGCGAGGATGAACCTCACCTACCCCCCCCCCCCGCCCGCCCTTACCGTCCATCCTGCCCCGCCGCCGCTTCCGGGTTCCGCCGCCGCCACTTCCGGGATGCGCGCGCCGCTTCTCGCGAGAGCACCGCCCGCCGTGAGCGTGGGCGTGGGCGGGGGTGGGGTGTGTCACAAGCCGCGGGGCGGGGGTCGCGCAGGGGGATGGGGCCTCACCGAAGGGGTCACGGGGGGAGCGGAGCTGCGGCGGGGCGAGCCCGGAGAGGGGCCGGGACCCCCCCCCCCCGGGGGGGGCCGCCATGGCGTCTAGCCGTGCTTAGCAACCGTTGCTAGGGCCCGGCGCTGAGGGGCGGGGGGGGGGCGGTACTGCGCGTGCGTAGAGGGTTGCGGGCGGCACTGCGCGTGCGTAGAGGGTTGCGGGCGGCACTGCGCATGCGCGAGGGGCCGGGCATCATGGCGGAGGGCGGCTCTGCCGAGGGGGAGCTGGAGCCGCTGAGGCTGCGGCGGCTGCGGGGCGAGGGCTTCTTCGAGGTGCCGGCGGCCGATCGGGTGAGGGCTCCGGGGCTGCGTGGGGCGGGAGGAGCGGGGTCCCCGGGATCCCGGGTGGAGGAACGGGCCGCGGGGCCCACCGGGGTGTGGGTGGGCCTGGGGCCTGCTGAGGCCGGGGCGGGCTGGGAGCGGCTGGTGCTGCGGGGGGGGGGGCTGGGGGAGCTGATTCTGCCCCCCGGCTTTCTGAAACGCTGGCTTGGTTTGCTCGGCAAGCAGCGCCGCAGCGCAAGGCGTTATTTTTTTTCCCTGGGGGGGGTTGGGGAGAAACCTCGGGGGGCTGCCCCAGGCCTAGCGCTCGCCTCTGACCTGGCTCTTTGGGTCCAGCTGGGAAGATGCCGCAGCGTGAAGGAGTTCGAGAAGCTGAATCGGATCGGAGAGGGCACCTACGGCATAGTGTGTGAGTGCGGCGCCGGACGCTCGCTCTGGGATGGGGGCAGAGCCAGCTCCTGGAGGGGCTGCAGCCCATCTGGCAGCAGGAGTGCATTGGGCTGGGGGGTCCCCTTGGAAGGGGGGGGGGGGGGGGGCAAAGATGAGGCTCCTCAGCACAGGGGGGTCCCGATAAAACCAGTGTTTGTCTTCTGGCGCTGAGCACGTGGCTTATGCTGCTCTTCTAGACCGGGCCCGGGATACCCTGACAGATGAGACTGTGGCGTTGAAGAAGGTGCGGATGGACAACGAGAAGGATGGTAATGGAGGAGCAGGAGGGGGGGGCCGGCAGCCCCTGCTCGAGGCAGTCGCGTAGCGCGGCCGTCGCTCTCCGCAGGAATGCCCGTCAGCAGCCTGCGGGAGATCACCCTGCTCCTGCAGCTTCGGCACCCCAACATCGTGGAGCTGAAGGAGGTGGTTGTGGGGAACCATCTGGAGAGGTGAGGGTCCCCACCTCATCCCACCCTCTCTGCCTTTCAGACCCTTCCCGGTTCCCCAAGCTGCCTCTCGCGCTGGGACACCGGCGTGGCGTCCCAGGGGAGGCCCCTGACTGCGACTTCTCTACAACAGTATTTTCCTGGTGATGGGCTACTGCGAGCAGGACTTAGCCAGCCTCCTGGAGAACATGCAGACGCCTTTTTCAGAGACTCAGGTAAAGGTTGGGCCAGGCTTTAGGTCCGTCACCCCTGAGAGGGTGCTGCCACTCCAGCCAAAACATCCAGGCGGCTGCTGTGGGCTCCCTGGACCTTGGGCAGGGCTGGGGAGAGCTGGGATTCGTGAGGAGCACGGGCTTAGCTGGCTCTCGGGGCGCTCCAGGGACTCTCCAGGCTGAGTTTTGGGCTGGAGCAAACTGGCAGGGGAGCAGAGCTGGGAGAAATTGAACCTCCAGCCACCTGTGAGCTGTTCTGGGAGGACACGGGGGCCTGGTCGCAGGGCACCCGCCTGCGTTTAACCCCTGGGGGTTTGCCTGGCTGGTGCTGCTCTCGCAGAGGTGGGTGCTCCTGTCCTGTGTCTCCAGGTGAAGTGCATCATCCTGCAAGTCCTCAAGGGCCTGCAGTACCTTCACGAGAACTACATCATCCACAGGTGGGAGCGGTGGAAAAAAGGGGCTGGGGGGGAGGGAGCTGCCGAGCCCTCGGGCCGCAGTGTCGCTCATCTCCCACCCCTCCGTGTCCCGGGAGCAGCCGCTCTGGGTGGGAGCACTGGTGGGACAGGGATCCTTCTGAATAAAGAGATTCTCCTCGTGATCACTCAGCTCCAGGCAAGCTCCGGCTTGTCAGGCCACACCTGGAACACTGTGCTCGGTTTTGTTCCCTGCTATGCAAAAAAAGCTGTGGCCAGGCTGGAGAGGGCCCAGAGGAGGGACGCAGAGACGATCAAGGGACTGGGCAGCTGCCCTGTGAGGAGAGGCTGAGAGAACTGGGTTTGCTGGAGAAGGCTTAGCACCGTGGTCTTGTACTTCAAAGGTGGCTACAAAGCAGAGGGCGACTCCCTTTCTACAGGGAGTCACGGTGGGGATGGGTACAATTTACTCCTGGGGGAGATTCAGTTTGGACACCAGAGGAAAATTTTTCACAGTGAGGACAACCGGCCCCTGGAATAACCACCCCGGGGAAGTGGTGGGTTCCCCGAAATGTGACATTTCTAAGATTCAGCTGGACACAGTGCTGGGCCAGCTTGTCTAAACCAGAAAGGTCCCTCCCAACCTGGGATTCTGGGATTTGTATCGTTGTACAACTGGGGGCTCTGCAGCTGCCTGCGAGCCGGGGGGAAGCGGAGCCATGCCCGCAGGACGGTGCTGACCGGCCACGCTCTTCCCCGGCAGGGATCTGAAGGTGTCCAACCTGCTGATGACTGACAAAGGCTGCGTGAAAATAGGTGAGTGCCTGCAGTTCTCCCGCCGCTCCGACACAGTGGGAGCGAGGAGCTTGTCCCCCTCCTCATCTCCAATCTCCGTTCCAGCTGATTTTGGACTGGCACGCACCTACGGGATGCCACCGAAGCCGATGACCCCCAAAGTTGTCACGCTCTGGTGAGCTCTTGGCGCAGAGAGGGGGCTGTTTTGGCTCAGGGGGATGCGGGGAAATCCTCACAGCGCGGCGGGGGGCTTCCTTTGCGCCGACCCCGCCGCGGTCCCCTTGAGACGGTGCTGTCCCCTCCGCAGGTACCGGGCGCCCGAGCTGCTGCTGGGGATGACGACCCAGACCACCAGCATCGACATGTGGTAAGGGGGAGAGCGGGAGGGGACCTGGGGGGGGCTGCAAACCCATGGCTTGTGGGTGGGGGGGTCGATGGAGGGGCGTCCTCTGCTCCGCAGGGCCCTGGGCTGCATCCTCGCCGAGCTGCTGGCCCACAAGCCGCTGCTGCCGGGCACCTCGGAGATTCACCAGATCGACCTCATCGTGCAGCTCCTGGGGACGCCCAACGAGAACATCTGGCCGGTGAGAAGGGGGCCCCCCACCCCCTGCTCGCACCCACCCTCTCCACCTCCCCCCTCCCTCACGCCCTGGCTCCCCGCAGGGTTTCTCCAAGCTGCCCCTGGTGAGTCAGTACACCCTGCGGAAGCAGCCCTACAACAACCTCAAGCACAAGTTCCCCTGGCTCTCGGAGGCTGGGCTGAGGCTGCTCAACTTCCTCTTCATGTACGATCCCAAGAAGCGGTAAGAGCTCGGCGGGGGACAGAAACCTGCCCGCGGACGGGGCCGGCCCCAGACCTGGGGGCAGATGCTGCCATGTCCCCTCATCCCCGCAGGGCGACAGCCAAAGACTGCCTGGAGAGCTCCTACTTCAAGGAGAAGCCCCTACGTGAGTAAACTCCCCCCGCCTGGGGCAGGGCTGGGGGGCTCCGGGCCCCCCCCCATGACCCCCCCGTCTCTGCCCCACAGCCTGCGAGCCAGAGCTCATGCCCACCTTCCCCCACCACCGCAACAAGCGGGCGGGCGCGGCGGGGCCGGAGAGCCAAGCGAAGCGCAGCAAACCCTGAGCTCTGCGCTGGGGGGAGGAGGCACGGCCCACGGCAGCCGCCACGGCGCGGCCCCCAGCGCCGCGGGCTCCGTCCTTCCCGGGGGGGGCAGCTCCCTCGTTCCATTCCCCGCCCCGCCGCGGGGACGGATCCAGCCGCGGGTCTGGCCTGGCGCTGGGTGAACGCAGAGGAGAGCTGGAGCCGGCGGGGTGGGGGGCTCAGTGGGGAGAGGCCCGGGGCGAGCCCTGTCCTGGGGGAGGGGGGTCCCTCTGCGGGTGCTGGCCGCGAGGGTTAACCCCGACTTCGCTGTCAATAAAAGCACCTGCCAGCAGCCAGGAGCGAATCGCCTCATCTCTCAGCTCCAGGAGCCGCAGCCCGGCTCTCCCTCCCCAGTGCCACGCGTCCCACCCCACTGCCCCCCTAAAACAGCGTTACTGGAACCCAGCCACGCTCTCCTGGGTGGCAAGAGCTGCTCCCACCCCCAGCCCTCTCCCTTCCCCGGGAGCAGCCGTAGTTCCCCTCGCCGAAACAGACCCACCACGCTGCGAGGCAGCCGCGCTTTACTGAGCCGGTTACAGCAGCGGGACCGAGCGGGAGCGCCTGGGGGGTGTGTGTGTCCCCCCCCAAAGCCCTTTTTAGGACCAGAGACTGGAGCTGTCGGCCAGCAGCATGTCCACCTCCGTCCGCTGCAGCCAGAGCCGCTGCTGCCTCTCGCTGCGCAGCTCCTGCCCGCGGTGGTGGGTGCGGCAGGCCTGCCCGGCCGCGCAGGCGTCGGCGTGGAGCTGCTGGCAGGTGGTGCAGCAGTAGGAGGGCAGCGCGCCCCGGCGCAGGCAGGAGTGCAGCTGGTAGCAAGGCAGCTCCGGAGCTTCTGGGGGTTCCCCCGGCGCTTGGGGGTTCCCGCTCCCCAGGGCGGGGAGCGGGCTGCCGGCCGCGCCGAGCTCCTGCTCCGGGCACGAGGGGTCCGGGTCGGGGTTGCCCACCGGCTGCCGCTCGCCGTCGCCGCGGCGTTCCCAGCCCCTCGCGGGCTCAGCCGGGGGAGCTGCGTCCTCTCCGCTGTTTTCCTCCGGCATGGTTGGCGTCTCCCGGTAGAGATCCGCGCCGGCACCCGCCGACCGCCTCAACATCTCCACGCAAGCCTCCACGTCCCCGGCGAGCCGGCGAGCTTCCAGCAGCTCGTCGGGGCGCAGCCGGCGCGGGCGCAGCCGCAGCACCACCTCCCCCAGGATCTCGCACTCCAAGCGACAGGCGTAAAAACCGCAGGCGGCGGCGAGCAGCTCGGGGCCGGGGGGAGGCCGGGAAAGGACCAGGAGGTGCCGGTCGCGCCGTTCGTAGCCCAAGCGGCCGAAACTCCGCAGCAAGTCGGCTTCGGGGAGCGCCGGCCGCAGCGAGTGCACGTAGGCGCCGGTGAAGGTCTGCAGCGAGAATTGGGGGGGGGGGTGTTACGGTTAGAGGCACCCCAAAGCGGCACACACACCCCCCACCCCCCCTCCCCGGGGCTCACCGGGACGGTGCCGAACTCCTTGCGCCAGGGGAAGAGGTAGAGGTTGACGGCCGCCAGCTCCAGCAGCCGGAAGGCAGCGGCCAGCTCCCGCAGCCCCAGCGCCGGGTCCGGGCGGTCCCGTAGCCCTCGGGCTAGCAGAAGCGGGGCGTCTTCCTGCAGGGCCGCCAGCGCCGCCGGTTCCCGCCGCAGCCGCTCCCCGAGGGACGGATCGGGGCAGGGCCCGGCGCGGCCCCGGCGGAACTCCCGCTCCAGGCAGCGCCGGTACCGCTGCCGGTCCCGCTGCCCGCGCTCCTCCTGCCGCAGCAACGAGCCCGCGCACATCCCGGGGGTGCAGCGCCCTCAGCCCCCGCAGATCCCCCGGGGGTGCAGCGCCCTCAGCCCCCGCAGGTTCCCCCGTGGGTGCAGCACCCTCAGCCCCCGCAGATCCCCCGTGGGTGCAGCGCCCTCAGCCCCCGCAGATCCCCCGGGGGTGCAGCGCCCTCAGCCCCCGCAGGTTCCCCCGTGGGTGCAGCGCCCTCAGCCCCCGCAGGTTCCCCCGTGGGTGCAGCACCCTCAGCCCCCGCAGATCCCCCGTGGGTGCAGCACCCTCAGCCCCCGCAGGTTCCCCCGTGGGTGCAGCGCCCTCAGCCCCCGCAGATCCCCCGTGGGTGCAGCGCCCTCAGCCCCCGCAGATCCCCCGTGGGTGCAGCGCCCTCAGCCCCCGCAGATCCCCCGTGGGTGCAGCGCCCTCAGCCCCCGCAGATCCCCCGTGGGTGCAGCGCCCTCAGCCCCCGCAGATCCCCCGTGGGTGCAGCGCCCTCGGGCCGCTCCCCCCACCCCGCTCCCCCGGCCCAGCGCTTCCGCTTCCCGCGCCGCGCCCCGTGACGTCGCCTCGGTGGGCGGGGCCCAGCGCTTGGCTCCGCCCCCTCGGGGAGGGTGGGTGGGTGGGGTGACTCCTGCGCCTATAGCGCCCCCTCGAGGGTGGGAGGAGTCAGCGGCGGCTCCTGAGAGCCGCCCCCCCCCCCCCCCGCCAGGGACGGGGTCACCTCCTCTTCCAGGACCCCAAACTCACCCGGGCCGGGGTCACCCCCACTCTCAGGGCCCTTACACCCCCCCCCCCCCCGCCCAAAACTGCCGGGGCCACACACACCACCCCCAGGGATGGGGTCACGCCCTCTTCCAGGACCCCTACCCCCCCCTCCAAAACCACCCGGGCCGGGGCCACCCCCCCCCCCCCACACACACACACCCCCAGGGCTGAGGTCACCCTCTCTTCCAGGACCCCCACACCCCCAAATTCACCCAGGCCAGGGTCACCCCCCACACCCCCTGCCAGGGACGAGGTCACCCCCTCTTCCAGGACCCCCACCAAACCCACCTGGGCTGGGGCCACACCCCCCCCCTGCCCTGCAGCCCAGCACTGGGGTCACCCCCTCTACCAGGGCCCCAACCCCCAGGGATGGGGTCACCCCTTTTATCAGGACCCCCACTCCCCCCACCCCCCCCTCAGGGACGGGGAGCAGCACCTGCCCCTGGGTGGGGGGGAGAGGGTCCCCCGGTGCCGCCGCCTCACTGCAGGGACTCCAGGTAGGCCAGCGCGCTCTGCAGGGACGTCAGGCAGTAGCCCTCCTCCCCGATCAGGTACCTGCACCCCACGGGGCCACGGTCACCGCGCCATCACGGCTGGGACACCGTCACAGCCAGGGCACTGTCAGAGTCACGGCCACCACAGCCAGGACACCATCACCACCATCACGGCCACCACACTGTCACAGGCAGGACACCACCACCACGGCCACCACACCACCACGGCCACCACACCGTCACAGCTGGGACACCGTCACGGCCAGGGCACTGTCACAGTCATGGCTGGGACACTGTCACGGCCACCGCAGTGTCACAGCCCTCACAGCCAGGACACCACCACGGCCACCACACTGTCACAGCATGGACACCATCACGGCCACCGCACCGTCACAGCTGGGACACCGTCACAGCCAGGGCACTGTCAGAGTCACGGCCACCACAGCCAGGACACCATCACCACCATCACGGCCACCACACCACCACGGCCACCACACCGTCACGGCTGGGACACCGTCACAGCCACCACACCACCATAGCTGGGACACTGTCACAGTCACAGCCAGGACACCATCGTGGCCAGGACACTGTCACAGTCACCACTGGGACACCGTCACGGCCGGGACACTGTCGCAGTCCTGGCTGGGACACGGTCACAGCCACCCCCACCCCCACCCCCCCCCCAGTTTCCCCCCCAGCCACAGCAGCCCCATCCGGAGCTGGGGAGGAAGACAACGACACCCCCCCACCCCTCCCTCCACACCCCGTGGGGTGCGCCCCACACCCCCCCCACACCCCGTGGGGTGCCCCCCCGACCCAGCACCCACCCTTCGTGGATGAACTCCTCCAGCGCCGCGCACTCGGAGAGCAGCTGGGGCAGCCCCGTCCGCAGCACCACGTAGGACAGGATGGGCAGCAGGTCGTCCGCCCCGCTGCCGGCGACCGTCAGCCACGCCGGGCAACGGGAACCGACCCTCCCCACCTCCAAACCCGGCCCCCACCCCGCCTCCATCCCCCCCCCCCCAGCACCCCCCCCTGTGGGACTCACATGGCGGCAGCGGGGCTCCGGCCGTCCCGGGGGCCGCAGTACTCCTCGGCGCACTCGCAGATGCCGCGCAGGGCTCGCACTGCGGAGCGGGGGCTGACGGTCACCTCGCAGGACCCCCACACCCCCCCACACCCCCGCCCCACACAGCAGCCCCGTGTCCCCCACACCCACACCCACCCCCACCCACCGATGCACTCCAGCTTCCTGCGGGGACAGGTCTCCAGCGGGATGAGGCGCAGGTCCTCGACGGCGGAGCCGTACGGGGGGCGGCCGGGGGCCGGGGGGGGGAAGAGCCGGGACGACAGCCCCATGTCGGCGGGGCCGGCGTGCCGGTGCCGCTCCATGCTGCGGGCCAGGGCCGCCTCGCGGGGCCGGTGCACCGTTCTGTGGGGCAGAGAGGCGGGGGGCTGCCGGGGAGGGGGCTGGGGAGCAGGGGGGGGGGTCCGGCCTGACCCCGGGGCCACGGTACCTGTACAGAGCCAGAAGCGGGGGCCAGAGCGGGGGGAAGAAGGCTTCCTCCAGGCACGCCAGGCACTGGTCCTTGCCGGCGGCCGTGTTGAGCCCCTCGAAGGCCAGCAGCGTCAGGGACAGCAGCCTGTCTGGGAAGGGGCGAGTTACGCAGCACGCTCAGCAAGACCCCCCCCACCACCACCCTCCTGCACCCCAATTCCACCCCGGCTAAAACAACGAGGCGCAGGGTTCCGAAAAGCCCACGGCTGCGGAGAGCCCCTCACCGATGGCGTTGTGGATGTCCCGCACGACCCCCTTCAGCTGCTCCGGCAGCGCCGGCTCCTGCCCGGGACCGGCCGGGGGTTCCCCAGGGGCCCAGCAATCCGGCGATGCCAGGAATCGCTCCAGATCCTCAAAGGAGCTTTCCCGGGGGGGTTGAGGGGCTGCCGCCGGCTCCCCACCCTCCGCCCTTGGGGTGGTGGGGTCGGCGAGGGGGGTGCTGGAGAGGCTGTGCCGCAGCCCGGCCGGGCCGTGCTCGGGCACCGAGAACATGCAGTGGAGGCTGCGGGAGGCTCGGAGCCGGCGGCCCCCCGGCTCGGTGGGCACCGAGCCCCCCGAGTCTGGCGAGAGGAAGGAGAGGCCGGTGGGGGAGGCGGGGGCGGCGTCGGCAGAGCCCCCGCTGACAGCCGGGTAGAGGCGGGCGTACACCGCGCACTGCGACTGCCGCAGGAGCTGGGCGATGGGGTGCTCGGGGCAGCTGGCAGCAGAGGGAAAGAGGGGTGGGCGGGGGGGCTGGGGGGGGGGACCGGCAAGCGGCCGTGGCCCCCTCGCCCCCCCGCCCCGGCGCTACCTGAGGAGGCAGGAGAAGAGCCCCGACACCAGGGCGAGGTCTGCCGGGCTCCGCTTCAGCCTGGCCTTCCACTGCCGCGGCCAGTCCTGGGGAGCGCCCGCGGCCGGTCAGCGGCGGGGATGGCACCGGCGTCCTGCCCCACAGCACCCTGACCCCATGGCGCGGCACCCCGCCCCATGGCACGGCACCCTGACCCCCAGCATGGCACCCTGACCCCATGGCACAGCATCCTGCCCTATGGCACGGCACCCTGACCCCATGGCACGGCATCCTGACCCCCAGCACGGCACCCTGCCCCATGGCACGGCACCCTGCCTTATGGCACAGCACCCTGACCCCATGGCACGGCATCCTTCCCCATGGTATGGCATCCTGCCCTATGGCGCAGCATCCTGCCCCCTGGCACGGCACCCTGACCCCATGGCGCGGCACCCCGCCCCATGGCATGGCACCCTGACCCCCAGCACGGCACCCTGACCCCATGGCACGGCACCCTGACCCCATGGCACGGCATCCTGCCCTATAGCACGGCACCCTGACCCCATGGCACAGCATCCTGCCTTATGGCACGGCACCCTGACCCCATGGCACGGCACCCTGACCCCATGGCACGGCATCCTGCCCTATGGCACAGCACCCTGACCCCATGGCACGGCATCCTGCCCTATGGCACGGCATCCTGCCCTATAGCACGGCACCCTGACCCCATGGCATGGCACCCTGACCCCATGGCACGGCACCCTGACCCCATGGCACGGCATCCTGACCCCATGGCACGGCATCCCACCCCACAGCATGGCATCCTGCCCTACGGCACAGCACCCTGCCCACGGTGCCTGGGGATGCCCCAGCACCCCGCCTCAGCAGCACCCGGGGGCGTCAAGTCCCGTTGCCCCACAGCACCCACGGACGGCGCGCATCCTGCACCCACGGCACGGCCCCTCCGTCCCCACGGCCGCCGCCTCCGGCGCGGACTCACGTGGTCCTGCTCGTACTCGAGGACAGCGGCGTAGAGGGCTCTCTGCTCCTGCTCCTCGGGGGTGAGCGCCACGCTGCTGGAGAATCTCCTGGGGGTGCAACGGCCCCGGGGTGATGGCACCGGCCGGCGCGGCCCCCCGGGGTCCCCACGGGGACACCCCCCCGCTCACCGGTTGGCAGCCTCCTGCAGCCGCAGCCGCCGCTCCTCCATTTTCCGTTGCAGCTGGGCCACGGCACCGTTAAGGCTCCGGCACCGCCGCGGCCCCCCCTACCCCCCAAACAGCCACGCTCAACCCGAGCCTTCTCCCACCTCCCTCCCCCCCGCAACCACACAGGACGGGGACCCCTGCGTGGGGCGGGTGCAGCCCAGGGACACCCCACAGGCGTGGGGGCTCTGTCGGAGCCCCGCCGGGAAGGATACGGTCTCCTCCCGCGCTTTGGCGATCACCAGGTTCTCCATCATCTGCCGCTGCAGGGACAGCGTCTGCGAAGCAGGCGACGTGTTGGGGGGCCGGGGGGGGGGGGCACCCACCCAAAACCCACGGCCACCGGCGGTGGCAGGGATGGAGCACGGGGCAGTGTGGGGAGAGGCGTCCCCCAGCGTGTGTGTGTGTGTGTGTGTCCCCCGAGGGGCTCCCCACTTGCCAGGGAAGTTTTCTGCAGGGCCTGGCTGGGGTTCAGCCGCGCCACCCGCGCTTCGTAGGCAGCTTTCAGCTTCTGGTTCTGCAGAGACGCTTCCTCCAGCGGCGTCAGCTCCCTGCCGGCACGCCAGCCCTCAGCGCCCACCCCGGTGGGCGACACGACCCCACGGCGGGGTGGGGTGGGGTGGGGTGTCCCGGGGACCCCAGCGAAGCCCCGGCCCCCCCCCCCCCCCCGGTTCCTGCCATGTCCCAAGCCCACGTACTTCCGCGCGCTCTGCGCCTCGGCGATCTGCAGCTTCTGGAAGATCTCCGGCGGCGGGAAGGGAGCGAGCTTCCCCCCCTCGTCCGAAAAAACCCGGCGGTGCCTGGGGAGGGGCGCAGGACCCCCGCCCCGCTCCTGCGCAGCCGGTTTTCCCTGCGTTTTCCCTGGGGAGGGAAGGACAAGTTGAGTCTGTGTTTCCCCCCCACCACCCCCCCCCCATTACCAGCCCGGCTCCCCGCAGCGCGACCCTCCCAGTTTCCCCCCCCCCCCAAGCTCACCCAGTGCCGCCGCGATGGATTTGACCCTCTCCAGGCACTGCTCCGCCAGCTTCAGCATCTTCGGGGTGTCGGGGGTGACCCCCCCGGTGCTGTCTGTGGGGAGGGCGCAGCGTTATACAGGCTCACCGGTGGGGAGAGCCGCGTGCCGGCCCGTCCCCGTGGGGCTGGAGACCGCGGGGGGAGCGGGCGTGGGGGGGGGGGGCCGCCCCACCTGCGCCCACCGCCTCGTCCTGCAGGGCCTGGGCGATGAAGGCGATGCTCTTCAGGTATTCCACGTAGGCGTCCTGTAAAAAGAGCGGGGGGGGCGCTGAGCCGCGGGACCCCCGGTGACACCCCCACCCCACGCCCCCCCACTCGCCGGGCCCTGCGTTGCGGGGGGGGGGGGGTACGGGGACAGGCCGTGCAGGAGCGGGCCCTTCCCCGGGGGTGTCAGGGCTGCGGGGGGGGGGGGGGGGGGGGGGCAACGACCCTCCCGGTGCCTCCCCCCCCCCCCCCCCCCCTTCGCAAAGCGCTGGCGGGGGGGTGGTCGGAGTGTTGGGGGGGGGGGGGTGTTGGTGGCGCCTCGCCGCCGCTCCCCGCGCTCACCCGCGGCCTCCCGGCGCTGTCCATCTCCAAGGCACCGCTCGCCGCCCTCATGGCGGTTTGCAGGGCCCGGCCCGCCCCGCTCCCCTCGCCGCCCGGCGCCGCCATACCGGCGGCCGCCCGGAACGGGAGCGCTGGGGGGGGGGGGGGGGGGGGGGGGGGGAACGGCGGCGCCGCGGCAAGCGGCGGGGGTCGGGCCGGGAGGTCGGTCCTCCGGCCGGCAGGGGGCGCTGCGGCGGGGCGGGGCCGGGCCCGCGGCGGCGGCGGCGGCGGCGGCGATGAAGCGCGATCGGCGCGGCCGGTTCTTGGCGGCCGCGGGCGGCCCCGCGGCGGCGGCCCCCGAGCCCCGGCGGCGGGACGGGCCGGCGGCGGCGCGGCCGCGGCCACAGCCCCAGCCCCAGCCCGCGGCGGGGTGGGCCCCGGCGGGTGCTGCCTGGACGCGGCCCCCGGAGGCAGGTGAGGCCCGAGCGGGGCGGCGGGGGGGGGGGAACCGGCGCCGTTAAACCGGCGGTGAACGGGCGTCCCGCAGCCCCACCCCCGCGGAGGGGGCTGCACCCGTTCCCCGGGGCTCCGTCCCACCGGCAGCCGAGCGAGCGGCGGTTTCCCCCCCACACCCCCCGCGCAGCCCCGGTTCCCCGCGGGGATTCGCTTCTACCGGGGCTGAGCCCGCCCGGGGTTTGGAGAAGGCCGGTAAACGCGCCCGGGAGGCGGGAGATAAACCCGATCGGCCAACGGTTCAGAATCGGGTGCGGAAAGATAAACCGGAGCGGCAACGCTTGGTGCACCCCCGGGACCGGGCGCCGTTTCTGCGACCCTTCCCCACCCCGCGAACCATCACCGGGGGGGGCCGCCAGCTCGTCCCCGGTGTGCGGTGACACCCCCCCCCCCCCGCCCCCCGCCACCCATCGCTCTGAAGGCCGTTCGTGGGGTCCCGGTGATGGTTCGGGGGGTGGGGGGCTGCGGGCAGGACCCCCCCCCCCCCCCCCCCCCCCCCCCGTTCTCCCCGGTGCCCGAGGGGCTGCCGGCCGGCAGAACGGCTCCGTCCCCAAACCGGGAGAAAACGCCTTTTTTTTTTTTTTTTTCCCATCCCGACCCCGGGTCCCTGCCCCGCGGCGATCCGGCTGGGAAATGCCCCCCCCCCCCCCCCCAAGGGGCTGCGAGAGCCGCGGGCTGGAAACGCCTCGGAGGGAGAAGAAACACACACACCCCCCCCCCCCGTTAAACCGAGGGGCAGAAGCGCGAACGGGTGCGAGCGAGCCCCGGGGAACGCGGGGGCCGTCGGGCCAGGAAGGCTGAATTTTAGGGTCAGCAAGTTGCGGGGTGGCACCCCGATCCGCGGGGGTCCCGGGGGGGGGCGGGGGGAAATCTCCCTTCCTGCCCGTTTTTTTTTTTTTTCTGTGCTTGTGCCGAAGCCCGGGTTTCGCGGGCGGCCTGGAGGAAGGGGAGGGGGGGGAACGTCTTGCCGCAGCCTCCAATCCTTCTCCGGCAGGAATCGGCCGAGCCCTGAGCACCGGGTATTGCCGCCTCTGCCACGGGAAGTTCTCCTCCAGGAGCCTGCGGAATGCTTTTGGGAAGGTGCCCGTGATGGGGGAGAACTCGGAGAAGCAGCGCCGCGTCGATCAGGTTTTCTTCACCGACTTCCAGCGGCTGGTCGGCGTGGCCGTGCGGCAGGACCCCGCGCTCCCCCAGTTCGTCTGCAAGAAATGCCATGCCCAGTTCTACAAATGCCGCAGCGTCCTCAGGACGTTTATCCAGAGGGTGAACGCGTCTCCCACGGGCCACGTGAAGTCGAAAGGAAAGTACGTTGCGTTTTGATTTTTTCGCTTATTTTTGCCAGGAGTTACCGGGAGCAGCACGCTGCCGCGCGTCCCCTCCGTAACCCCCCCCCCCCCCCCAAGACCCCCACTGTGCTGTTCTGGTTTTTGCAGGAGCGGCGCGGCCCAGGCCCAGCCGGGCGCGGAAGGAGGTGCCTCGTGTCTGGGTGAGTGCCCTCTCTCCCGGAGCCTCTCGCCTTTTTCCCCTGGGATACCGCCGGCCGAGGGGCTGGGTTTTACGAGCGACGAGGGTGGCTCCTTCATCCCCCGGCACCGCGACCGTGCCCGGGTCTGGCCGGTCACCCGTTCCCCGCTCCGGCTCCCCGGGTGGATCCGCGCTGGCACCGACCTCGCTGAGCTGAGCTTAACAGGCTCGCAGGGAGGGGTGTGACAGGCGGAGGGGGTGCCGTCGGGCACGGAGGGGGGGGCTGATCAGAAACCCCCCTTCGGCTGTGGGGGGGGGCTGCGCCTCCACGCCGTCTCCCACCTGCCTTCGACGCAGAAACCCAGCGCAGCGGGGGGGGGGGAGCGGGGTTGCAGCCCTGTCCCCTCGCCGGGGCGGGAGCGGGTCCTTCCCCGGGGCTGGAAACGCCTCGGAGGGAGAGGTTTGTGCCCTCGGCTGCCCCAGGGGACTGACGGGCTCGCCTGTGCTGCCTCTGCCCTCCCCACAGTCGACCTGATCACCTCCAGCCCGCAGTGCCTGCGCAGCCTGGTGAGCTGGACGCACGCCCACGCCGGGGGCTGCCCCTCGGCGCCCGGCCTGCGGAGCGTCCTCTCCTCCGAGTACTGCGGCGTCATCCGCGCCGTCTGGGGCTGCGGCGACGGGCACGACTACGTCATGGACACCGATTCGGACTGTAGCACGGCGCTGGTCGACAACGCTTTGGCTGTCAAGCGGGAGTGGGGCAAGGGCGCGGCGCAGCGCTTGACTGACAACGGGGCAGGGGCAGGCAACGCCGAGGCTGTCTCCGCGCCCAAAGCCCAGCACGCTCCAGTAAGGACGGCTCCTTGCCAGCAGCCCGCGAACACGGGGACCGCACCGGCGCCGCTCGGCGTGGAGAACGAGCCACCGCCCGGCAGGGATTCATCTCGCTCGCAACCGGACAGCACGGCCTCCTCGCAGGAGCAAGCCCTGCCGCAGCCCGTGTCGCCACTGAGCAGTGCCACAGGTAAGGGATTTGCCTTCCGACCGACCTCCGGGCCGCTGGGGAAGGGCGGTGAGCCCCGGAGCTGGGCCAGGGAGCCACGGCGGGGCTCGGGGAGGACGCAGACCCCGGAGAATCGCCTCGGAGCCTCGCGGAAGGGGGGGGGAGCACGGGGCGCCGGGCGGAAAGAGCCGCTCTCCTCGCCCCGCGTCCCCCGCTGCGATAACGGGGCGAGACGCTGCAGCTTTGCTCTTGCCGGGGTGTGTGGGGACGCACGGACACACACACACACACAGACACACACACACGTGTGCCCGTCGGGCGGCGCGGGGCGGTCGCTGGTTCTCCGGCACCGCGTCGGCCAGATGTTTCTTCCTGCTCAATCCAAACCCCCGACCGTGCGCCGGCACGGGGAGCGGGGCGGGGGGGGGGGGGGGTCTCGCCGCGCCGCTGCGGGTGATGCCGAACAGCAGGAGCCCCTTCTGCCCGCGGAGGAGAGCTGCCGGGCGGGCCGAGTTCACCTGGGTTTGCTGCTGAGCTCTCCTCTCTTCTGGAAGCGGCCCCCGGGGGCGGGGGTTAACACCCGATTTCGAGTCGCAGAGGTCGGGCTGCGTTTAGCTCCGACGGCCGCGGGAGACGTCCGCTGCTGGAAAGAGGAACGGGAGCTGGGACTCGATGGGGATGAGCCTCTCGGTTACGGAGCGGGCGTGACGGGGCGGGGGGGGGGGAAGCCGAGGGATGGGAGCTGCGGGGCGAAGGCTTCCCCGTCCCCGAGGCGCAGGGAGAGCGGCCTCTGAGCGCACCGGACGCGGAGTTCGGTTTAAATAACCGCGGAGCTCGCGCTGAGCTGGTTCCTTCTCGGCAGCTGTCTCCGGTTTTGCTGCTTTTCCTTGTAACGCACCGTGTTCTCCTTCATTCCCTAGGACAGTTGAGTGGGAAGCAGGTTCTGTCTGCAACGTCGGATGAGCGGGTAAAAGACGAGTTCAGTGACCTTTCTGAGGGGTGAGAGAAGAGTGGGTTTAAAATAGCCTAAATGTCTTCTTTGCGAGTGTGAAATGACCGGCCTCGGAGAGCTCTTTCTCCACGAGTGACCCGGCCCTCGAGGCCCCTTTGGACCCGGAGGGGCTCACGCCGCTGACACACCGAGCTCCCCGCCTCCGCCGCGGGGCCGGGGAAGGGGGGGGTGGTTTGCACACGCGTGTGCTCTGCGGGGCTGCTCCCAGCAAAACCCGGTCCCGTTGCAGCTCCCTGCCGCCCGGCTCCGCGCCGGGGGTTTGCTGGGCCCCGGGCGCTGCTGCTCCAGGCTGGGGCTCCGGGGGAGCGGTCGGTGCGGGGACGCGGGCGAGGAGGGGGTGGCGCTCGGCGAAATCACCCCCCTTGGCTCACGATTAAAGGGGGAGCGGGAGGGACCTGGGCAGCTTTAGCAGTCTTTACGATCAAAGATTTGGCTAAATCCACTCAACTCGGGGTCTGAAGTACCGAAGGGCCGAGGGCAGGCTGGTTTCAGTGTGTCGGCTAAATCCGCCAGCTGTCACGTTAAAAGTTTATTGCCCGTTTCCTGGCTTCAGAGTTAATTGCTTCGTGCATGGCTTAGGACTTAAAAGGAGGAAAAAGCAAAACCCAGACCTTTGTGGCTGCTAGGTATGAGGAAATACAGCCTGACCTGAGCTTAATTAACTTGCGCCAGACAATGGTAGCGCCGCCTTGCTCTGCAAAATTACTTTTCCCAGTATAGAAAGCGGTAGCAACATCCCTCAGCAATGAATAGATCTTTTCAGTAACGGCCGTTTTGTTTTTGTTTTGGTTTTTTTTTTTTTGTTCTCGTGACAGTGGTTCGATTATTCCTACAGAGATCTAGTCCTAAAAGGACCCGGTTTTGCTATTTGCTGCGTTCACCGGCGCCGTGTTTGCTTGGGGAGATTACGGGGGAGGAGGAGACGTGGAGCCGCGGCTGCCGGGCCGTGCCGTGGGGGAGATGGATGCGCTGGGGACGAAGAGCACTGGTGCTGAAGTGCCGGCCCGGCGCCGCGTCGGTAAAGGGCATCTCCTCTCCCTTCAGGGACTTCTTGAGCGACGATGAAAACGAGAAGAGGAACGTGCAATCTTCGGACGACTCCTTCGAGCCTTACCCCGAAAAGAAGTAAGGGGCTCGCCGCGGCGCGGTTGGCGGAGCTCTGCGGCCACGGTTCGCTCCACGTCCGTGCTGGGGGAGCCGGGGGGGGGGGGTCGCAGCGCTGCCCCAGCACCCCTGTCCCCCCCGAGCTCCCCGGCGGGCTGCAGCTGGGCTCCAGCCCCAGGCCCGGTGCTAAGCCCCGCAGCTCGGCTCCCGGGCGCTTGGCATAGGTGTGCTCCTGCTTTGCCGGGTCGAGCGCCCGGCTAAGGCGTCAGGCCTGGGGTAACGCCGGGGGGACGGACACACACGAGTCGTCGAGAGGACTAAAACCGAGATCTGAATATTAAACCACTGTCTTTCTTCCTTCTTGGAGGGTTTCTAGCAAGAAAAGCGACGGCAAAGAAGCGAAGAAGGCGGAAGAGCCCAAAATAAGGAAGAAGCCGGGGCCTAAACCGGGCTGGAAAAAAAAAATCAAATGTGAAAGGTAACAAGGAGCAGGCAGGGGCTGGGCGGCACCGCGGCGCTCGGCCCAGCGGCTGACGGCAGCCTCTGCTTTGCAGGGAGGAGCTGCCTACCATTTACAAGTGTCCTTACCAGGGCTGCACGGCCGTCTACCGCGGGGCGGACGGCATGAAGGTAAGGTCGGGGTTTGCTCCCACCCCGAGCCGTTTCCCCGGGAGGAGAGGAGCCCTGACAGATGTAAATGGGGCGCCTCGCTCCGCAGGAGGCAGCGAGCCGCTCGATAAAGCGGTCTGCTGAGAGGCCCGGGCCCTTTTCTGTGCACCCAGACACGACGGGAGCCGCTCTGGCTCGGCGTGCTCCCCGCTGCCAGCGGGGAGGCCGGGCTCTGTTTTTTCCCAGCGCTGGTGCGTGGGCCTGCCAAGATGGGAGGGGGGTCTTGGTTTTGGAGAGGTGTGTGGGGGGGAATCCAGGTTTTTTCACTGAGGAAAACGCAGCCCAGCCGTTAGCTCGGTCTTCTCTTTACAGAAACACATCAAAGAGCATCACGAAGAGGTTCGGGAGAGGCCCTGTCCTCATCCTGGCTGCAACAAGGTGTTCATGATTGACCGGTACCTACAGCGTCACGTGAAGCTCATTCATACAGGTGTGTCCCGGGTGGGTGTTACCAACACCCCCCACGAGCCTTGGGCGGGGTGTAGATGTGTCTGAGGCTGCGGCAGGCGGGGGGGGGGGGGGGGGGGGGACAGAGGCAGGGGGGAGGAATTCGGGTTCCACCCCTAAGCGTGGGCTAGCTGCCTGCCTGCGTTTCGTGTAGCGCGGAAGCAGCCGAGCCGCCGCCTCTCCCTCTTCCCGTTGCAGAGGTACGTAACTATATCTGTGACGAATGCGGGCAGACCTTCAAGCAACGCAAACACCTCTCGGTCCACCAGATGCGGCACTCGGGAGCGAAGCCCCTCCAGTAAGTGCACACCAACCCCCCCCCGTGGCAGCCAAGGGTCAGACGGAGGTAGCGATGTTCCGCCGAGCGCTTTAGAGGAATTCAGCGCCACAAACCCGGGCCCGGCGCCGGCAGCCTTGGGCTGAATCCCTTTCAAAACGTTCACCCGCAACCCGTGCTCCAGAGCTGCAAGCCTTAGGTTTCCTCCTCGTGCTGTTGCCCCCCCCCCCCCCCCCCGAGGTCAGCGGGTGGGTGTTGTGCCGCCGGGGCTGGTTGCCGATGCGGGGAGCGGGCGGCCCCGAGGCTGTTGCCCTCTCGAGGGTTGGCTGGGCGGGGGTGCTGAGCCCCGGCTTTGCCTCGCAGGTGTGAAATCTGTGGGTTCCAGTGCCGGCAGCGAGCGTCGCTCAAGTACCACATGACCAAACACAAAGCGGAGACGGAGCTGGAGTTCGCTTGTGACCAGTGCGGGAAGCGCTTCGAGAAGGCCCATAACCTTAACGTCCACATGTCCATGGTGCACCCTCTGACCCAGACTCAGGACAAAGCCAAGCCACTGGAGCCAGAGCCCATCCTCCTCCTCAGTACTTCAGGGACTTCGGAAAGCCAGGCAGTAAAGCTCGAAGTGACTGCGGCGCAGGAGCCCACCTGAGGGGGCCGGGGACGCTTTCCCAGTCCAGCCCTATAGAAACCGTACGGCAGAGTGGAGATTTTTAATCTGTGTTTTAGTCTCCCAAAGAACTCAGTGGAATTAGCTTCAGCTTGCTCAGAAAAAAAAAAGCTTGTTATCATGCTGTGATTCTCCATGCTCACGTCTGATTCAGCAGTGTTGTACTAAGAGTCTGTCTAACCCCAGGGGAGGGGACGTTCGGCAGCACCCCTCCGTGGTCCCCTTCTCCCCACGCACACAGTTGTAGAAACCAAGTTGGCTGCTGCCTGTACGCAGGGGCCTTCAGGTGCCTCCCAGGGTACGTAGGACAGCGGAGCAACGTTAAGCAGACATTTTGTTTTGAAGAAAAAAAAAAAAAAAAAAAAAAACCAACAACAACAAAAAAAAAACTTTATGATTCCCAAAGCAAGCCTAAACTGAAATTTGTAACCCACTTTTTATTGTAACAAGAGCTTCATGGTTATGCTTGTAATAAATTATTTACAAAGTAATTTGAAAGAAAGAGCACTGGTGAGAAAGGTAGCACCTTGTCTGGCCCTTCCACTCAGAAGAGGAGCGGCTCTTCATCCAGCTCCATGGCTGCAGCAGGCCTGGAGAAGTGCAGGAGGGTGGCTCCCAGCTCTGGGTCGAGTTCTTCACACGTGGCCAGGAGCTGGGGAGAGGCAAGTAGCCGGCGTCAGACCTGCCCGTGCCGCCTCAGAGCGGGGCACAGCAGCGCGAGAGCAGGCTGCTGCTTCTCAAAGCGCAGGGAAGCTGCTGCTAACTTGTGCAGAAATAAGCCACGCTTGTGGGAAGCTTCACCACCTGCCCCCGGGGCTGTGCTTGGTGTTTCCCCCAAGGTGAAGCATAAAGGGAGCTCAGGGAGAGAAGGTTGAGGTGCTGAGGACAGAGCCAGCAGCTCAGGAGAGGGAGGAGGTGGCTATGGCAGGGATTGAGCACCAGGTGTCCTCCACCGCTCCCTTGGGTGCGACGGGGTGAAGCAGGACCAGTGCCCAGGAAAGGCCACAGTTCCCAGCTCTCACACACGAGTGGGGAGGGGGAAAAACAAAAAAAAAAAAATCTCAACGCACCGGTTGTATGTTTCTGAAGCTTTGGGCAGGGCATTGCGGGATGGCGCCCAGCAGGAACCGCCGGGCCCTGGAGATCATCTCCAAGGGATCCCCCTGGAGAACACGGAGGAGAGACGCGGCCCGTCACACGCAAGGTCACGTTCAGCGAAACAAGAACCACTACACCGGCCCTAGGGCTCGGCCCAGGTTAAGCAGATCACAGGCAGTGACTACGTTCCCCCCCCCCAGGATCCTGTACAAGGCAGCAGCAGCTTCTCTCAGCCCCGGGGGGGTGAGCAAGGTGCCTGCCTGCCCAGGCAGCCCCCCACAAGCTGCCTCTGCTTCGCAGGGGAAGGTGGGGACAACAGGGATGCTGTAAGGGGCAGGGGAAGGGATAAAAAACAGGATTCACAGAGGAAAAGAAAAAAAAAAAAAAAAAAAAAAGAGAGCCTGAGCTTCACTCACGTGCTCTGTGGGGTCTGGGCTTTGCCCCACTTGGTCAGACTGCGGCAGGTCTTTCGGTTCCAGAAAGAGCCGGAGCAGCTGGATGTACGAAGCGAGTGCCACGGGGAGGAAGGCCTGCTCTCTGGTGAGCAGCTCTCGGTGGAAGCAGGGGGTGAGGCTGGAGGAGGCCCCCCACACACACACACACACACAAACACACACAAACACCCACCGCGGCTGGTCAGCGCCCGTTCAAAGGCGGTGAGGAGCAAGGCAGCACGCCGTGGTGGCCGCGCTGCTGTCCCTTTTTACGAGCCCCGCTGTGTGCAGGGCCAACCCCCCCCCCCCAACCTTGGCAGGAGCAGGGAAGCAGCCAGGGACGCTCCTCTTCGGAGCACGAAGCTGAAGGGAAACTTCTAGCAAGGGCCACGTGGCTCCTTAGAGAGCAATCCTGCTGTGACCAAGTGGCTCCTGCTCAGCTGAGGGAAGAGCTCAGCTCGGGGCAGCGCAGTCACCTCCGTGCCAGCTGCGGCACCTGCAAAACCATCAGCCACGTCCTCCCTCCCGAGCCCGGCGGGACGTTACCTGTAGAAAGCCAGAGGCAGGAGCCGGACGTGACGGTCTGAGGCTGCGCTGCGCAGGGCGCGGTATTTCTGAGGGTCTGCAACGGCCAGACAGAAGCTTCTAAGCACCTTCCGAGGTCCTCGCGTGCTTCTGCAGCGGCACAGGAGCTGCAGTTTCCTCCCAGGCCACAACCACCACCAGTGCGTGGGTGTGGTGGCCACCGAGAGAGGCAAGCGGGCCCCTCGGAGGCTGACAGCGAGCGTCAGGCACTGCTGATCATCAGCTGCGCCCCCATGCTGCAGGGGAGCAGCAGGATGTTCTCAGCTTTTACTCAAGCAAGTATTTTCCACGCGGCTTAAAGGCCCATCAGTTCCTTCTTACGGGTACAACTCATTAATCAAAGAGATGGGGCGTCCCTGTCCCGCACGGACCCTCTCCTTTCCAGCCCTTGGAGGCAGGACACGCTCACCTTCCTCTGCTGAATGGAAGAGAAGCAGCCAGGACGCGCCCCTCTCTTCCAGGCACTGCAGGATCTGCAGGGAGCAGTCCAGAGATGTCTGAAAATCCACTCCTTCCTGGGTGTAAGAGAGGACAGGTCTAGTTTGCGTAGTTGTATCAAAGCAGAAAGGATCCCCTCATAAAGAAACGGCGTCGGCGAAGCTCCGGAGCCCAAGTCCCTCCCCTCGCCTGGCAGCCTGGATTCCCCCGGGGCTGAGAAGTGCCTTCCTCACCAACCCAGGCCACGGCGGGGCTCGCTTGGGCAAGATTGGAGAGAGAGAGGGCGAAGCGGCATCGACGAGCAACTGGCTCATCACCAGCAGCTTCCCAGCAGCGCTCAGCACGGAGCCACCGCGCATCCCCCCCCACCCCCGGAGCAGGTTTTCCCCCTCTAACCCATCTAGTGACAGCACGCCTTGGGATTGGGTTGGGTTTGTTTTGTGTTTTGTGGGTTTGTTTTTTTTTTTTTTGCATTACTCATTTTACTCGGAATAACCTCGCAGATCGGTTCGCTCAAGATGTTTCTTTCCCCAGTGACTCTTCCTCCAGAATCTCCCAGACTATGAGACCAAATGATTATTTTTTAACTGGAATCTGCTCCCCGATCCAATCTGTTAGGTGACTACGCAAACGGCTGCACTTCAGAGCTGAGAAGACAGCAAAAGGGACAGAAACAAGCGTTCACAGGCGGGAGGATGCTTAGGGCAGGCGGCTGCTGGAGGAAGCTTGTCATCTTTGCTCCTTCATTAAATAGCATTAATCATTTGGAAATTATTGTTCCTCCTTGCTGGGGACCCCTTCTCCTGTGAAATACCACGTCCGTTTCCAGCCTGAGGAAAAGCATCATCTAACAAACGTGAAATGCCACGCAAGCTACGAGAGAGAAGCGAGGTGCCTGCGCTAGCTGGGAGGGGTGAAGTCTGGACGGGGAACTGAAAATAATAAGTCATTCAGGAAGAGGAAGAAAAGCTACCGTAGTGAAAGGGGAGATAACTAAATACAGGTTTCATCTGATAGGAACAGAAGGGCTTTCAGCAGGCTCTGTCTGGGATGTTGCTGATGTTCCTTCTGGCAAAACAAGCTCCCAGCCTGCCCAGCACCAGTACAAAGCATTTTTAGGCAGCGAACCAAGCTGATCAGACACATTCAGTGTCATGAGAATTCCCTCCGGGCTGAATTTACCTTTGGTGCTATTTTGGTCGAGATGAGATCCATGAGCGAGAAGAAGAGCAGAGAAACGAGGAGCTGCAAGGAGAAGAGACTGCCCGTTAGTTGTATCGGCGGCGGTGACTCAGAACTCGCGCTTTCCAGAGAGGAAATAACATTTCCCCACGTACATTCCCAGGATGGACCTGGATGAACTACCAGCAACTGCTGTCCCTTCCAGGTAAAAGCAGAGCGTGTTTGAAGATGACAGACTGCAGCCTGACATCGTTCATCGCTTCTAAGGGTGAATCCCACACTAAATTCACTGTTTTCGAAGCAAGGCTCGCTGCAGTCAGCAAGCCAGACAAACAGATGACAACTTCTTGCAAACACAGGGAAAACCGAGTGGGCTACCACAGGCGTGAACCTGGAGGAGAGCTACTGTTGGTCCGCAGCCGGCATGCCACCAGCAGACGCCGTGCAGCCTCTCATCTCAGCAAGTGCACTGCAGTCCTGTCCCCTGGTTATCGTTTTTCTGGATCCCTACCACACACAGCAAAGGACGCGGTGGCTTGGTGATCCTGGGAAGTTAAAGTAACTTATTTATTGCTAATCCAGCCGCAAGGCTAACCCTCCTTTCTTTTCCTGTCTCTGTCTGAGAGAGGGCTGAGCCAGACAGCACGTGCTGTGCACAGCAGGTCTGTTTGCACACGCACGGCGGTCAGGCCGGGGCAGGGAACATGGCAGCGAGAGACCTTTCACTGCAGCTGAGAGTTTTCCAGAGGTGTGGACGGCTGCCTGTGCATGAATCAAACAAAAAAAAAAAAAAAAAAAAAAAAAAGGAGTGGCACATGTGGAACAACTGGGTTCCTTGGATTTGGCGACAGCGTCTCAGCCCCGAAGGTGGCTAAATCCCCCAACACTCCCCCTTCTGACAGGGAGATTTCGCCCCGTCACGCTGTCTGTCACCCGGAGGGATCCAGGACCTGACCTCGCAGCAGAACTGTGCGCGGGACCGAGTCCCCCACCACAGCAAGAGCTGCACAATCCCACCGATACTGGAGCGGCCGTTGAGGCCTGAACGCCAGGCAGCCTCCTGGGACCCCCCGGTGCACTCAGCCCTCCCCCTGTCCTCACTCTTCCTGGCACCCTCCTCCTCTCTCAAGGCAGATTTTTGAGGCAAAAGCCGCTGTTATTCCACACGTACTAAATGCTCCGCTCAGCTCCGACTCCAGTTTCTGAGTAGCAGCTTTTGGCTCTGGACCAGTATAAACAGTGGAGGAGTCAGTCCCGTAGCAGGAGGAACTGCTACCGTGACTGCTGCCCGGAGCAATAAAACTTAAAGAGTAAATAGTAAAAGCACAGGTTCCCCTTCAACGCTCTCCACCTGTGAATGCCTCGGTGCGGGGATGCTGCCTGCGC